CCTTTTCATATTTGCCTACAACCCAACTCCTCCTTGTTCGTCCTCCGATCAACATTTTCCTTATGGCATCATCGTCCTTAGGTCATCATCATCTATGGTCTTTGTCGTTAGTTAGGGTTCATCTACATCGCCAACATTTTGTATTTGTGGAGGTCGTTGTGCTTGTCGTTGCATCCTTGGTTGCGGTGGCCGTTGAGTCCTTTGTTGTGGTCGTCGTTGCATCCTCAATTGCGGTCAATGTATTTCTTTATTTTGAGTATTCCTACAAACTTTTCTTTATTTTAAGTATTCCCTAAAGATTCTACTTGTGGGTTTTCAACGAATCAAAGGGGAAACATCATACAAAGGGTGATATCATCCCTAACCTCTATGTTCACTAAGAAAGCTTCCTATAGGTGTAAGGTTGACAAAGGTAGGCACTAGTTGAGGCTATATTTTTCCTCTCTTACCAACTTAGTCCATAATTTGACTAAAGCTGATATAATAATGGTTAGTGATGATTTTGTCCTCTTGTGAAACTTCTGCTTTAGGAACTACAATGGTTCATATATGTTTAGGTAGTATCCATCAATGTTACCTCTATACCTAAATTGTTACCTTTATTCCTTCAAATGGTTCAACAATAGCTTTCGTTAATGCCATTGAAGATGTTTCAATGCCAAATGACTTGTTTGTTGATTAGGCATTGGCCTTTAACCCAACTACATCATTCAATGGCCTTTTTGAACATGCTTTTGAGACTGTGTGTTACTTAAATGTGGGAGATCCCTTATTCACACTAATGTATTATGTGTGTATTATAGGACAAAGTTTCACTTTACTAACCATAAATCTCTGTGAAATAAAAGTTTTCAAGGTGAGCATATTTAAATTATTAGGAAACAAGTATTTTACTTTTTAATTCAATCTTCGTGTGTATGTTCCATGAATATTGTTTTCTTTTTGTAGTGTATTTTATGATATATCATATTGTTGTTTTCTTTAGGAATATTTTCTAACAAATAAATCTTGCATTGCTAAGGCTCGAAATATAGTTGAATACTTAATACAGGATGGATCATGGTGAGTGGTTGTGGTTGTTGGATGGTAGAGGTTGTTGTGATGGTATGTTAAGGTGTTGAAATGGTAGGTTGAGGGGTTGGGCTAGGGGGTTTGTCGTTTGAGACAACCACTGTGTCATCCATTAGCATGATGACTTCCTCATTAGAAGCATCTTCAATGATTTTAGGAGTCATTGAATGGACACAACTTTCCTAATGAACTGCATCTTCAAGACTATGCATAACAATGCTGAGAACCAATGAAGAACTAACTTTGCTGACAAAGAAAGATTACAGGGAAGCGTCAATAGAAGTCTCAACTGAAGTCCTTTTCTTGATCTCCCACATTTTACAATTTGTCTAAGATGTTATTATATATATATATCCTCGCAACACGACTCAAGCGGCGGTCTACGACTCCAACCTTGAAATTTTCTCCCTTGGTGGGTTTCCTTTATAGTTTAAGTTGTGAAGTTCTTGGCTAGAGTTGCCTGAAGTTACTTAATAATGAAGGACTCTTTCATGGCTTAAGCTTTAGGCCAAGACTTGAAGAAAGCTTCTTGATTGGGTTTTCTTCATGGCTTGAGCTTGCAATACTAGCATTACAACCGTGCTGAGACAAACTCTTTCAAAAGTTTTGAATTTCTTCTTCTTTTCTTTAAAATACAAATCTAACTCCTTGAATTTGTATGATTCTGCAAAACAAGTGAAATTAAGGTAGTTATCCTGTAAATTAAGTGAAATCAAAGCAATATAAGTGCTAACTTAACATTAAAAACTACTAATATCAAGTACTTATCATCCATCACTAGAGTTAGGGGACTGTTCAGGACATACAATTCCAGTAAAAGAAGACACCTTTGTCTTCTTTGCTTTCTTCTTCAAATCCAAGGGGCGTAAGCCTTTAAGTTAAAAATCATCCACAAAGACGAAGGTAAAAAAGTTTCTCATACAATGCCTTCATTTTTTATAAAATAAAATATATAAAAAAATTGTAGAAAGATGAGTGAACGAAAGAGATAAGTGAACGAAAAGGCTGAGTGTGAATAAAGAGGAGAAAATTATAAATGAAAAATATGAGAATAGTGTTCATAAACGAGATGTGTATGGATAAAATAAATAAGAGTGTTGATGAAGGAGATGCATGTGGATTAAAGAGATCGGTGTGAATGAAGGAGATAAGTGTGAAGAGATTTATGAATGTGAATGAAGAAAATGATCAGTGTGAGATTTATATAAAAATAAGAGATGAAAATTGTGAACGAGAAAATTTATTATCTTTAAATCTTGACCTTTAAAATAAAAATAATTTATAGTTCTTTTTTGTTATCACAAAAATACATAAATTCATAACATATAAATTAGTATTCAGACAAATCGATTATATTAGTACTTGAATTAAACGAACTCTATTAGCTTCGGACTAATGTCATGTGACACTAAGAAAACAAAAATTCATTAAAAAAGTCATTAAATAATTTTATGCTTTTAATTCTTTTTAAATAAACAATAACCTCTTACGTTTGGAGTTGACTAAGTTAATTCTATTAGCATCTAACATTAAATTAAATGAACTTTATTACAGGCAAACATTTAATTATTAAAAAAGTAAAAATAATTTTACATTTTTTAACTTTTAAAAAAAATAACTTTTTGTGTTGCACTAGAGTTGACTAAGCTCAGTCTCATAGCATCGCAATTTGATCGACAATAATATTTGGTAGTTAATTCAAACTTTTCTTAATGTGAATCATATCCAATGAAAAGCCTTATAAAATTATTCAAAATAAATTCTTAATAATTATAGCACATTAGAGTAAGTTTTTTTTTAACACAGTAAGTTATAAATGAAGTACATGAAATTTATATAAAAGAAAATCAAATGGAAGTATTTTAATTAAATTTAGATACTTCCAAGCCAACCGCATTATCCAACACACTTGGAAAGTTACATTTATGATTTCATTGCATTCTTTATCTCGTTCCTGTTAACTCAGGTGTTGTGCAAGATTTGGAAAAGATCATGTCGTTCCCTCACATTTTTACCAGCTTTCAATGCTCCATCTGTGAGGTTTTTCTCAATCGTAATCATGAGATTGTTTGGTTTTAGAAAACCATTTTTATTTCCATTAGTTTAAAACTATAAACGCAACATTAAAACGTGTTCTTTTAATTTATTCACTAATTGACCCACCCACAAACTGCCTTCCCTTCTTGTCACCATTTATGCATATGTATGTTCTATAAATAGGAAGCATATCTCAAAACAAAAATGAGCAAAACAAGGTGTGTTGTGTAGTGTATTTAGCTTGAGGAGTTGATATTTGTGTTGTTTTTTAATGGAGCATTTGGGTCATAATGGTTTGATCTCTGAGCTTGAAAATGGAGTCACTTTGTGCTGTGATGAAGAGTGTTCTGAGAAAGAAATAGTTACAACTTCCATTCAGTATGCTGTCAAAGTGTTGTTGATGGGTTTAGGAGAAGATATCAACAGAGAAGGCATTAGAAAAACACCACTTCGTGTTGCCAAGGCCCTTTATGAAGGAACCAGAGGTGACTATTCCTCCCTTAGCATTCTCTTTACTCATTAAACGGTCTTAAGGATAATATAATAAAAGGGCTGTCATTGTCCAATTTTAAAGAAAATTGAGATATAATTAAGTACAAATTATTAACAAAATAATTAAATATTTAATTTAAATATAAAAATCAAATTATTAATTAAACTTAAAAACTTATCTTAACATGTGTNATGTATTTCTTTATTTTGAGTATTCCTACAAACTTTTCTTTATTTTAAGTATTCCCTAAAGATTCTACTTGTGGGTTTTCAACGAATCAAAGGGGCAACATCATACAAAGGGTGCTATCATCCCTAACCTCTATGTTCACTAAGAAAGCTTCCTATAGGTCTAAGGTTGACAAAGGTAGGCACTAGTTGAGGCTATATTTTTCCTCTCTTACCAACTTAGTCCATAATTTGACTAAAGCTGATATAACAATGGTTAGTGATCATTTTGCCCTCTTGTGAAACTTCTGCTTTAGGAACTACAATGATTCATATATGTTTAGGTAGTATCCATCAATGTTACCCCTGATACCTAAATTATCACCTTTATTATTTCAAATGGTTCAACAATAGCTTTCGTTAATGCCATTGAAGATGTTTCCATGCCAAATGACTTGTTTGTTTGTTGATTAGGCATTGGCCTTTAACCCAACTACACCATTCAATGGCCTTTTTGAACATGCTTTTGAGACTGTGTATTACTTAAACGTGGGAGATCCCTTATTCACACTAATGTATTATGTGTGTTATTATAGGACAAAGTTTCACTTTACTAACCATAAATCTATGTGAAATAAAAGTTTTCAAGGTGAGCATATTTAAATTATTAGGAAACAAGTATTTTACTTTTTAATTCAATATTCGTGTGTATGATCCATGAATATTGTTTTCTTTTTGTAGTGTATTTTATGATATATCATATTGTTGTTTTCTTTAGGAATATTTTCTAACGAATAAATCTTGCATTGTTAAGGCTCGAAATATAGTTGAATACTCGGATGGATCATGGTGAGTGGTTGTGGTTGTTGGATGGTAGAGGTTTTTGTGATGGTATGTTAAGGTGTTGAAATGGTAGGTTGAGGGGTTGGGCTAAGGGGTTTGTCATTTGAGACAACCACTGTGTCATCCATTGGCATGATGACTTCATCATTAGAAGCATCTTCAATGATTTCTAGAGTATGCATAACAATGCTGAGAACCAATGAAGAACTAACTTTGCTGACAAAGAAAGATTACAGGGAAGCGTCAATAGAAGTCTCAACTGAAGTCTTTTTCTTGATCTCCCACACTTTATAATTTGTCTAAGATGTTATTATATATATATATATATATATATATATATATATATATATANATTTAGCTTGAGGAGTTGATATTTGTGTTGTTTTTTAATGGAGCATTTGGGTCATAATGGTTTGATCTCTGAGCTTGAAAATGGAGTCACTTTGTGCTGTGATGAAGAGTGTTCTGAGAAAGAAATAGTTACAACTTCCATTCAGTATGCTGTCAAAGTGTTGTTGATGGGTTTAGGAGAAGATATCAACAGAGAAGGCATTAGAAAAACACCACTTCGTGTTGCCAAGGCCCTTTATGAAGGAACCAGAGGTGACTATTCCTCCCTTAGCATTCTCTTTACTCATTAAACGGTCTTAAGGATAATATAATAAAAGGGCTGTCATTGTCCAATTTTAAAGAAAATTGAGATATAATTAAGTACAAATTATTAACAAAATAATTAAATATTTAATTTAAATATAAAAATCAAATTATTAATTAAACTTAAAAACTTATCTTAACATGTGTCAATCTCATTTTGTAAACTAGTTTTATAAAACTACATTAGATTTAAAATTTACTTTTAAAAATGTTTTCATATTATTAGGTTTTTCATCGTTATGGATTTTACTTGTTAATCGATCTCAGAAGGCCTACAAGGAGGTCTGTTTTTTTTTTCTATATATATGTAAATTAGTATACAAATAAAAGTTTTTCTTTTTAATTTTAATATTTATATTTTCTTATTTTTCTTTAAACTATGATCATTGTGAGATGTAGTACGCACTCTAACTTAATTAGTAATATTAAGACGACTCTGATCTATTGGTATTTAGGAGTATTGATAAACAATATTAAAACATTTTTTTATTATAAATCTTATGACAACATATTAAAAGAATATTCTTTTTAATAGAAAGTGATGCTTTTTTGTTTTTTATAATCAGTATCTTAAAGAAACTTATTATAAAGTGATCTGGGACGGATGCAGCTTGGCCATTATAGGAGGCAATTTGTCCCACTAGATTTTCGTTTTCCCCCTTATAGTATATCTAGAACTTTTTGATTTTTGCTTTCATTAAAAAGTAAGTTTTGCTCTCTTAAGGTAATTTTTAATGTCCGCAGAAATTTGTAAAAGTAATAGAAAACAAATTAATATTAACTTTTCTATTTATCCTTCTCACCTCTTTAATACGATCATACAATGAGTTGGTGAAACAGGCTACTATTTTATTGAGATTTTTGCTTTATAACCTGTTCTTATCATCTTTTATCCCCATTTTGTGAAGAATTTTAAAACTTACATAAATACAATGAGCATAGAAAGTTTTAAACTTTTACTTGGATTATAGAGACAACGGATAAATAAAGTCTCACTTTCAAATTTTTCATCAAACCCTAATTTAACTATTATTTGTTGTTTGTTACTTTGAAACACTCAACACTATTATTGTCATTCATTCCTTATTTTTCTTTCCCTCCTCTTCGTTATTATGTTTCACAAATGATTTCATAAATCAATAGACATAAAAACAGCCAAGTACCCACTAATTTCGTACCTTAGAATTCCTAACCTAAAAATCAGAAGAAGCGAAACAAAACAATTGTGAGGGAGAAGACAACAATGTAGGATAACAGTAAGACCACTATGGTGAAGATTGAAACCTATGGAGTGCCATCGAGATAGGAAGTACCCAAACCATAAACCAAGCATCACTGAAGGCAATAAGGGTCTACAAGAGCGAGAGCAGCACCAACGAGAGTGACCTTTTCGAGAATGACAAAGGCCACAATCGAGAGGGAGATGACGAGAGTGACAACCAAGTGTAGTGTGAGGGAGATGTTGAAAGGCATCAACAACAACACTGCAAGGGAGGAGAATATGTGAGTAGAATAGGGAAGTGTAGCACGATGGGGGAGAAGAGAGAAGATGAAAAATAAAGATTCTCTGTTGGTTATAATGAAGAACAACATAATATATGTTTTTTAAATTTAAAATAACACAGACACCAACTTTTTATATCGGTTCTAGGTATAAACGACATAGAAAATCTCATACTTTATTACAAAATTACCACTACATCCACTTTCTATGTCAGCTTTGGTGATAACCGACGTAGAAAGCTCTATTTTATTATAAAAATATCATCGCACCCTCTTTCTATGCCTATTCTAAAGATAACATACAATGAAAGTCTTATCATATTTACAATTTTGAAACCACGTCATTTATTATGTTAATAAATTATAACAACCATAATAAGTCATGATAAGAAAAACTATTTTTACACTAGTGTTAGTGTTATTGACATATTTTTCTCTCTCATAAAAAAGCTATAATTTGTTTTAATTTAAACATTCTACAAAATAATTTTGTTTCCAGGACTAAACAAATTTTGGTGGTCACATTCTATGCTTGTTCTAAAAAAGTAAAGTAATATGAATTCACTTAATAAAATCCTTATATTTATAATTATAGTTATATTATAAATTTTATTTTAATATAAAATTTGAGAGTCAAAATCATATATATATATATATATATAAATAATTCAAGTTATGTATCACAAGGAATATGATAACACATTGAGATTGCCATCTCAAAATTAAATAATCACATGCTATGAAATATTTTACAAAAGAAGAAGAAAAAATAAAAATAAAGAGAACTAAATCAAACTATATAAATAAATATAAAGCAAACTCTGCACAAGACCTAAAATAATAAACATAGGAAGTTGAAATTTATTGTTAAAGAAGTCTAGACTAATAAAAGATATTACATCATCGTAAGAAATAAACTTTAAGCCTAATTCTATTCCACAAAATTTATTTATAAGGTGAGGTTTGTATCTACTTATATACTTTAAATTAAGCTTATCTTTATTTGATGTGAGACATCCAACGTACCCCCTCACATCAAGGTATATACATCTCGAGTATGAGACTAAACATTAATAGCTAGTCCAATATCGGTTTGATAGTGAGTGGAACAATATACTCAATAAACATAAAATTTTACTGATGTAAGTTCTAACCTAGTTCTGATACCACGTTAAAGTCTAACTCTTATATATAAACTTTTGTCCCTCTACATATGGCTTTGCCTTTTACAATAAATTTTGCTTCTGCTGGTTATCCATGGCGTCTTGGTAGAGCTCCTAGAACAACCTTTAACTACTAATCTATTCAGCAACCAAAAATTCAAAAAAGGTAAAACACTAACCATATACAAAGTATCATGTTTTCTCAAATATTTTAGCTCCAATCTTGACAAGAATGGTATCCCAGGTTATGTTAAAAGTGTTAAGGAAATTGTGGAAGGTGCATTATTCCCTGAAGGCGGAGTAGAAAAGAACAAAGTTGGTGATGCAGGAGGAGTAGGTGGACTTGTGATTGTGAGAGACCTTGACTTTTACTCCTACTGTGAGTCTTGCATGCTACCATTCTATTTCAAGTGTCATGTGGGCTATGTCCCTTCTGCTCAAAGAGTTCTCGGTATAAGCAAACTCTCTCGTGTCACCAATGTCTTTGCAAAACGTCTCCAAGAGCCTCAGCGTCTTGCAAATCAGGTCTGTTCCGCTTTGCATGAAGGAATACAACCCACAGGCGTTGCTGTTCTGCTTCAATGCAAACACATTCCCTTTCCAGACATGGAATCAAATTCTCTTCACTCAAACCACAAAGGGGTCCT